TACATTTGGGTATATCGCCTTGAAGATATGAGAAAAATCTAAAATTCCCTTCCCTTCTTGTAACCTCTCCCTAAAATTCCTACTAAATGATTTCTAAAAAGTTGTAAAAATTTGATTACCTACATAATATGTGCATACCTATAAGATAAAAAATAAGATTGTTAAATTTGGCATCACTTTAAAGAAAATAATAGACACAAAAATTTACACTAGCATCTTAAAAAAAAATATTTCAAACCTTTTAAATTGTTTGATAAACTTCATTTGGTCATATTTCATAGATGAATCACTTGAACCAGATATGCTAGTAGCCACACCTTGTAAGAATCACTACTAAAAAAAAAGGCTATATACAGCACCTTCTATATAGAAGTTATTAAAAAAACTGCTATATAGTGGATTGAAAAAGAGAGATTATATTGTGTTATTTCAAATAACTGCAATATAGTCTATCTTTTTTTTATTTTTTTTAGAGACTATATAGCAGTTCTTCATAAATAACCAAAATTGACAATAATGAACATGGATCCACACAGCTTTATAATGAGTACTTATCTTGATGTTGGAGGGGATTTTGAGTTTGAATTGTCAATCAAATGAAATCCAAATCTAAACCTAAACAAAATAACCAATTAACAAAATAACCTATTAACGGATCTCAATACAATTTAAATTTAAATGCAATTAATTTTTGGATATTTATTTTGAATTCAAACAAAATACCTATCAAATATTAATTTTTCAATATATATTATTTTTTATTTTGTAAACATCAAATTATATATATATATATATATATATTGTCATGTACTCAATTATATGAATCTTAATTTTCCTCTAAAATTTTTAGAAATCAATAGAATAGATCATATTTCAATTTCAAATAGATAAAAATTAATTTTTATATCTAAATAATATAAATAGATAGACATTAATTTAAATTCATATATATATATATACACGCACTCTATAGTATGAAACTTAATTTTTGAAATATCATCCGAAGTTTTCAGAAACCATTGGGATAGATGAGATTTGAATTTAAAATAGATAAAACTTAATATGTACATCTAAAAATTAATAATTCATCCTGCATCTAACTCAAAACCTGAATAATATATTTTATATACATTAAAAAATAATAAATTATCCTGAACTTAATCACAAACCTAACTCTAGATCATAAAATCATAGAAAGGGCATTCCAAAATACAAAATTGCAACAAACCCTAAAATAAATACGTGGCATTTTCTTATAGCCTTTAACTTTACTTTTATATATATAATGGTGTGTTTGAGTATGTGCCTTGCAATTGCAAACTTCATTCCATCCCAATTGAAAATACAAATGAAAAGGAAAAAATGAGAATAAAATCACCCCAAATTATATAAATGATAATTTGGTTCCTCAAAATGTCATAATTCTACTGAGTCAATAAATTTTAAATTGAAAAGCGCATTTTACCTTTATTGACAAGTTGTAATTTCTTGTTTAATTCTTGTAATTCTTTGAATAAAAGTTATTATTTTTTAAACAAAAGTTATAATTGAGGCTTGTTATTTTGAGAACTTCCTTTTGATCAATAATAATAATTACACTTGACAAGTTGTGATTTTTTATTTATGATTCACAAAATAAAAGTTATTATTTCTTAAGTAGGAGCCGTGATTAGGATTTGTTATTTTAAGATAAAAATTACACTTGACAAGTTATGATTTCTTGTTTAATTCTTATACTTTCTTGTCATTTCTTAAGCAAAAGTTGTAATTGAAATATGTTATTTTCAATAAGGCTAAATGGCCTTTTTACTTTAAAATTTATTAACACAGAAGTCCTTAAGACTTCAATGGAATTATAGCATTTTGAGATATTGGAGTGTCATTTTTATAATTTAGGAGGATTTTATTATCATTTTCCTAAAGAAAAGAGATCAAGATTCAGCCAACTTCAATTTCTTTCTTTCATTGTTTTTTTTCCAATGAAGAAAGATGAAACCTAGGCTAGCTAGCCTATGCAATCAAAAAATAAAGAAAATCCTTTCAATTTCTAACCTTGAAAAAGTCCTAACACAGTTCAGATCATAATACTTGATCCATTCTCTGTTTTCTTATATATAGAAAAATTTAGGTGTGTTTGATTCGGGAGCTCACCAAAAATAGGGCATGCTTCCAAACTCAAACAACACTTACAGAAACAATGACAAATTGCTTAACAATAAAGTTCTCATATTGATAATGAGATTTGATTATATGATCTAATGAATGAATTATGGATTAAATACTTATCAACTAAATCAACCTTTTTTAGTAATAAAGATTCAATCCAAATTAAGAGATGGCAAGAAGAAGGCCCAAGATTCAAGGAAGAAGAGATGAGAGAAAGAGAAAAGAACTTTTGGGCGGCACAATTGATAACATTGATAGAGATTTGGATCCCATGTAATATCTAGAGCTGTGCAAAAGTTCTTCAGTCTTATCTAATCCAGTCCAACCCAAGATGATCCTAGTATTGTTTGATCCATAAAGACATTGGTCTTTCAGGATTAAAAAGACTGAAAAGACTAGACTATTTCTTTAGGTTAGACTGGACAAAAGGCTAGACATCCAGACCACTTGGTCTAGTCTAGTCCTATTAATTTATTTATTATAATTATAATTAATTTATTTTTAACAAATACTTCAAGTGTACTTGATGCCAAAGAGATGATTGTTTGAAGATTTGGTAAGTTTGTTTCTAAATTGTTATTGTAATATAGTGTTGTTGAAGTTTGTTGAGTGCTGTTTTTGTTAAAGTTATAAATTTAAATCATTTAGGCTATGAAAGAAATATTTTATTATTGTTGGAAATTATTATGGATTTATTATTATTATTATTATTTTTTTTTACTATCTTAATTGAGTTTATTAGGTTAAAAGGGATTATTGTCTCTCATAAAGGAAAAAAAATGCTATGTAAGTACTTAAGTAACAGGACCATTCTCTTAGTCCTATGGACCAAGTTTGGTTCTATTAATTTTTGAATTATCACTGGACAAGATTGAAAAATAGGTTGCTTAACCCAGTCCTTTTCATGAAAGAGATCGAACTTCAGGTTAGGGTGAAGTCCAGTGCCATCCTATCCTTTGTGCAACCCTTAATATCCTTAGTGCAGTAGGTGGGAAGTGGGGATATATGACCGTACATTTTATCAAATAGTTAGGAAGAGAGAGATGTACAAAAAGCCATATCATTTGCAAAGTATATAAAAAAAAATTTTCTACTTTTCAAAACCTAATTTTTCTGGTGGGTTTTATGAGCCAATATGTCTAAACCTTTTTTGGTTAAAATAAAAAACAAAAAAAAACAAAAAATAATTTTTCATTTGTTCCATTCTTTTTTAGTTTTTTTAAACCAACATGGTGCGAGAGAGAAGCCAAAAGTGGAGATACGAATTTTGCAGAGATGTTGAAATAAATTGTTAAATTTTTTCATAGTCTTTTAGGATTTAAATTGTGGAGTAAATTTTTCATTATTAAAATAAAAGTTAAAAATATTTCATTAGCTAAAAATCCACATTATCGTTTCTATTGTGGAAAAAAATTTGATTGTTAAAATAAAAAATAAAAAAGAATATTTCATTAGATAGAATCCATGTTTTGTATCATTTGTGTGCTTTGAAAAAAAGAAAAAGAAAAACCCAGCCATTTTATTATAGAAAAAATTTTGTATGCTATTCAGATGATAAGGTTTTTTGTGCACATATCTCTTCCCAACCATTGGATATAATGCTAAGTTAGGATCTCTTCACTTCTCATCCACTACACCAAATATATTGCATGGGATCCAAATCCCCGCACAGTCATTCAATGCTTGTCATGAGTTAAAAAGCATTAATGCCTCGGTTGGTTACAAAGAAATTGATTTTTAAAGAAGTGAAAGTAAAAGTGGAGATAGAAGTAGAAGTAGAATTAGGCTAGAATTGCACTTTAAAAAGTGTGGTTGGTATGTTAGAAAATCACGTGGAATTTAACTGATTTTTTTTACATGAAAAATAGGTTAAATAATTAAAAATTTAACTGATTTTTTTTACATGAAAAATAGGTTAAATAATTAAAATTAGAATTAAAAGACACTTTTGCCCCTTCATTAGAAAAGAGAAAAAATGCAGACAAAAAAAATAGAGTGGTCAAGAAACCTTCATCTATGAATTTACTAATTTTAATATTAAATATAAGCAACTTAATAGTTGTAAAAAAAATTTCCCATTTTATTCACTGTATTTATCTACTTGGATTCTTGTGTAAATTTATAAATTTCTTTTCACTTATTATTAATAATTAGAATGAAAGATAAAAGTATTAATATAAATTTTTATTAATATAAATATTTTATTAATATACAAGTTATTGTTAAAAATTACTTATATTTTAGATCGAATTTTTGCCATTGCTAAATCTAGATGTGCGTTCAAGCGTTACGTCCTTTAATATGACATGAAATAGAATACCCATGGGGCCCACGTGGCAACTAAAATGGCCCACGTTATTGAGGCCCAAAAGCCTACGGGTGTACACCATAACGATGAAGATTATCCACGATATCCGTCCCTTAGTAATTAGTATTATTACCGTTGGCCTGTAGCCCCCCTTGTGATTTAAATTTGTTTGACCTCCCACCTCTTTGCTTGTTTTTGGGTGGCTGTTGGGTCCTGTGTTTTTTATTTTATTATTATTTTTTTTTTGGGCTGTATTTTTCGTGACTTGCTGTTGTTCCCCTTGTTTTCGTGCTGATTAAATGTAGTTTCAGGTTTTATTCAATATATATATATATATATATTATTAACGTTGTTAACACAAACATAGAAACTAAAAACAAAGCGTGTAGTCTTCGAACGTCTCAACCCTCCAACGGTCAAAAAATTACTAGCCCTTGAGTTTCTTAAAAACACCACTCCCAGAGTGATGTCGAAGCTTACGGCAGTTTACTGTCAACCATAAGTGGCGATTTCTCATTCACAAGTTTGTGAGGTAAACTTTTCTTGTGTGTTTGAATCAACGTGGCTGGAAATTGAAGCTGTTTCTTGGGAGGAAAGAAGAGAAGGAGGAGGAAGAAGACGACGACGATAGGAGAAGGAAGTCAGAGAGAAAATATTAATGTTCTTTCTGTAAGCTTCATATTCTTCTTGTCGTTTTCCCTTCCTATGGTGGCTGACCATACTCTCTCTCTCTCTCTCTCTCTCTCTCTCTCTCTCTCTCTCTCTCTCTCTCTCTCTCTCTCGTTCCGAACGAGACTGTTGACCCCACTTAGGGATAAGTTTCCACAGGTAAATTTTTGAGTGGTTTTCTTATAAATGTGATTAGATGTGCGTTTATTGATCGAATGCTACCTTTGAATTCTTGTCTTAAAGTCTCCTCCTCATTTCAGATTGAACTATTTTCTTGCAGGTCTTATGGGATTCATCCTGTGTCGATTCATTGCTATTTTGAGTATTTTCATTTTATAACGACTCTTCATCATCAATGATCCGGAAGGGCCTTCTTCAGGATGACATGAGCTCTTTCATTGATTAAATATTTTAAGTTACTAAAATTTGTGTCACCTTTCGCCAGTATATTAACATTTTGGGCAAGCATTTTCTCTTAAAGGTACTAACTTAAAGCATTTAACTCTGAAGGGACTGTCTGACTTTCTCTCCTGTACAGCGTGAATAAAAATTGTTCATTTAGGATTGAAATTTGCTTTCTTTTTTCTTTTTTAGTTGCATGTCAAATGTAAATAGGATGAATTTTATAGAAAATTTATGCTGATACCTTTCATTATCTATTTAATTTGCCTGCATCTTACCACTGATTGGTTGCGATTGTCTGCACTTATCTTTTCTTGACTTTGTGTGAAAGTATGATCCAGAAAGGCTGTTCTATTACTATTTAAATTTAATTCTAAAACCAATCCTACGATAGCATGTTTTTTGCGGCGCTAAACATCTTTTCATTTAGATTGCTGCTGCAAATCGCTTTCCATTTTAAATTTTTACTAGGACTGTTTTCAAAATTATTATTAGTCAATTCCTTACGGGGTTTTGTATTTTATTCTTCATTAATATGTTTCACTTCAGGAGCAAACTTAAAACTGTCATAAGCCTGAGATTGATCCTGTTGAACAAATAATTGCTTATAAACTTAAATCTTAAAATTATTATGCGATATTCTCGTCTTCTTTGTCGACTTACCTTTTCTTGCACCATCACTTGTTATTGAAAGTTTGTTCATGATTGATGTGCTTTCTATGAATTTTTATCTTCAAATTTGGAACAGCTTGTTCAAAGCAGGAAATGTTAGATGATTATCTTTGAAGATATTAAAATAAGATTTTTTTTTTTTTTAACTTTTGTTGCATCCCTTTTAAGCTGTGATATGAATTATGATTTTGAGCCTGGAACAATGTAAGCTTTATTTAAAGTATGACTAAATGCTAAGTGGATATTCTGTGTTGATATTTCTTGTTAAGCATTGGCTGGTATTGTCAAACTTCTTTCTTCAAGAATGGTATATAGTTATTAATTCTATGTTCTTTATTAATTCAAGAATGGTATATATTCTTATTTTTTTAATTTTAAATATATGAGAAATTATTGATTAAACGATAAATGTCTATTTATTAATTCTATTTGGTTCCTGGTGAATGCCTACATTATTTTTTGTTGTTTGGTGACCTGTGGGCCCCATTTCTTCTTATTTTCAGGGGAAATCTATTTTCTTTCTCCTTTACTAGTTCTCTTTTGCCCCTGCTTTTTTGCCCCATTTCTTCTTATTTTGCTGGTTTTATATGAATATTTTCTGCTATTTTACTTGACAAAATTGCTCTATCTCACGGCCATACATGTACCAACGCAACATAGGCTGGGATGGGTTAGACATGTGTGAATTTTGTGTCACACCATCTCGGCTGCTATATCTGCTGTGTCCATTTGAAATTATGAGGAACCTATGGACAGAATTAGATCACATAGTAGGGTGGTTTATCCCTGTTCTTTTCTTTGATTTTTTATCCTTGAGTAACATTTACATAGTTCATCATGATTGCGAATTCTTCATGAATTCGCTTACATTTGATTTGCAATTTCTGTAGTCGTTAGTTGCTGAATGTGTGGTTGCTTATATTCTCCTTTATATGGTTAAATTGATAATTTCTATATATGTGTGACATTTAACTAAAGATTTACTTTTTGGCCAAAAAAAAAAAACTAAAGATTTACTTTACTTGTCCACAAAATAATCAAGTTCATCTTGTTTGGGGTCAAATGGAGGAGAACTATACTGTAGAGAGAGAAAAACGCAGACAGTTACTTTTAATGCTTTGTCAACATGAGGCAGATAAGTCTGAAGTAACTCAGCTGATCTAGGTATATTTCTTTTAAGCAAGTCCTAATCAGTTCAGTCATTGATTATTATTGGGATTGATTAAGTGGGTCAGAATGTGCTGTCATTTTGAACTCCTTTTTCTTTTTCTTTTTCTTTTTTTTTTAATCATGAAGGAAAGAAAGAGAAAAGGCACATGAGTTTAAAAGTCTGCCAACAAATTAATTGAATTATTTTATATTTAATGTTTCCTCAGATGTTGTTAGGGCACTTGTTATAAATACTAATAAACCTGTCAAAAGTACGAGACACATGAATTTGTTGAGTTTTCCCAAAGTAGTAAACCTGTTATTTAAGCATGATACAACCTAGTTCTCTTAACAATATTTATTTTGAAATAGTTCTATTAACTATTTTTCATGCTATGTACAAAGGTTTAATGAGTGACTATTTTATAACTTTGTTACGAGTCTACTATTGCTTTCCTCCTAAAGTCCTATTCAGCATCTCTTTTTCTGATTTTTTTGTCAATTGAGAAAAAAGATTGACCTTGTCGCTGGTTGATATAAATTATCAACATGGTGATGCAACTGAAACGGGTGTTTTGAATATGATGGGTTTTATTTGCCGTCACATTTTTTTGTAATTAGGCCTTTCACTGTTGGATGGGATCACATCACTTTGCCCTTTTTCTTTTTCTTGCCCATCTTTCTTTCCTTGTCAACTTTTTTGATTGAGTCTTATGTTTATCATTTATTATGTTGTTTGGTAATGATTTATTTTGGATAGAGTGAGACTGTTCCTGAGCAAGGAAAATAATCCTCAGCAAAGGTATTCTAACAGCTAATATCTCTCTCTCTTTTGTTTAGTTTTTGTTATCATATCCATATTAAAAAAATATATGTATCATTTCCAAGTTATCAAATTATAGGCAGACTGGATTGTAAATTGTTTAGGAAAACTTTCTGACTATTTACTTTTAGAGCCAGCCTTTAGACATGTAAATATTTGACTATTTAATTACTTTTGACTTTGGCGTTATATTATAAATGCACTATGCAAAATGCAATTAGAGATATTGAGATATTGGCAAAGTTACATTATAGTTACAAAATGCAATTTTGTAACTTTCTAAAAATTAAAAAAGTTTTTTGGATATTTTTTTTTTATGAAACTACATTTCAAAAGCACCTTAACAAAGTGGGTAAAAGTGAATTTGGTCAATGAAACGTGGGGGAACTTTTGCAAGGTGCATTTATATTGACTATTTATATAATTTTTGTCCAATATATCAAACTTAGTACTTTTTATCCTTATTGTTTAACATATTAAATTTTATGTTATTAAAATTTTTTTAACATATATATATATATATATATATTTCATACATTCTAATACGAAGCATTTGTATGATATATAAATGAAAACTTATAAAAATTAATGTCCATTTGATAATTGTATATTTGCAAGTACTTTTCATTATACATAACTTTCAGTTGACTTTTATTAGACGAACATTTGATAAATTGACTTTTGACCAATGATAAAAAACCAAACATGCACCTTAATCATCCAACATTTGAAAAATTAGTTAGGCTAACAATTATATTATAAAGAATAAATTCCAACTAGTTGCTAAAAAGTCTGCATTTTTTCCCCCTAGCTGTAAGCAGCGTATAGTTGAAGTAACTCAGCTGATTCAGGTATATTTCTTTTACATGATCAATCTTGCAAATAAGAAGTCCCAATTAATTTAAATAAATGATGATGTTGGAACTTGGAATGATACCATTTTTCAACATATATAGATTATAAAACTTATAAAATTCTTCAACATACATACATTTAGGTCCCTACAATTTACTTGTATTTTGCTATATATTTCTGCATTATTTTTAGGTATGATCGGTCCCTGTACTTTTATTTTTTAATATTATAAGTCCCTAAATGAACAAATTGTAGTGATCTTAGAAGGAATTAAAACACTACAAAATATAAGTGTAGAGATTTATAGCAAAATATGAGCAAAGTGTAAGAATCAAAAAGTATGTTTTTTAATTTATAATGTCTGTGGACAAAAAAAGAAAAAACTTTTTCTCACAACTCATGTGATGCAAGAAAATCCAAAACGTGTTAATTAATAATTATCCTAAATCTAATTAGTTAATAATTATCTTTTTTTAATTAAAACTTTTTTTCTTTCGATCTTTTTAGTTTTACTTTTCAAGTAAAGTCGATATAATAATATAAAAATTTTAACACATTTTTTTCAGAATCATGAATGTATAGTATAATTTATTTTTCAGACTCGATATGTCACACGTGGCCCACACTACTTGTTCATTCGATATGATTTGTCACCCTTTGCTATTTCTTTATGCATTGGTAAACATTTTCCAAGCCATACATTCTTGATTCTTTGCCAAATATCATATAACTATATGCAATATTTCTTGCAACGAACCCTTAACATTTTTCAAATCTATACAATATTAATTACATTGTTTATTTTTTGACATTATTATATTATTTCACATATGTAAGAAGTTCTTATTTGTTCAACTAAATTTCTTACAGTTGTGTGATACACGTAGATAATCTCTTATTTGTGTTTGCTTTTCTTTTTCAATAATCTTCCACAAGATCTGAATATTCAGTTTGAAATAAAGAAGTAAAGTTTTAAATATAACAAAAAAGAAATATAATTTTAATTTATTTTTAATTTTGGTTTTAACAAAAAATTTTAATTTCAAATATAACGAAAAGAAATACAATTTTAATTAATTTTTAACAAAAAAGGAATATATATTTACCGTTGAATTTTTAGTTATTTTTAAATACATTTAACAATTAAATATATTGCGTGATGTCTATGCTACATGTTCAAATAATTTGAGGCGATGAACATTAATTCTTAAATTATTAATCACTAATTTCATTAATCTTTTCTAATATCTTATTTAATTATTGGTAAAGATTAATTATTAATCATCTTGATTTACTGTCTTATTTAGGAGGTTTGCTTACAACTTTGTCTTTTTCATGTATGTCATAGGTGAAATGTGACTGTGATACAACTTGTTAGGAATATATATTCAAACATGTGTGCAATTATGGGCTTCTAATATTGTATCATTATGGATTTTTAACATTGTACAATTACAAACTGTCTTTTTCATACAGGTCCAATTCAAAACTTGACTATTAGAATCCAACATGTATGCAATTACATGTCTTCAACTTCATGCAATTATGAGCTTCCAAAATCTTCTTTTTCATACAGGTTCCCAACAAAACTTGATTGTGATACTATTTATTAGGAATTAGGACTCAAAGGAGTGTGTAATTATGAACTTTTAACATTGTGCAAGTACAGGTTTTCAACACTGCATAATCATAGGCTTCCAACATTCCTAAAGGTGTATGCAATTTCAAGCTTTTGACATTGTGTAATTATTGTCTTTTTCATATGGGTCCCTAACGAAACTTGATTGTGACATCATTTGTTAAGAATTGAGACTCAAATGAGATGCAATCATGGGCTACCAACATTGTGCAATTACAATTTTTCAACACTGTAATATTAGGCTTCTAACATTATCTTTTACGTATAGGTCCCAACCACGTCTACCAAGGTTCCAACATTATATAATTATGGGGTTTTCATATAGGTCTCAATCAAAATTTGACTGTGATACCACTTATTTAGAAATTGACACTCAAATGCGTGTGCAATTACAGGTTTTCAAGTGCAATTATAGGCTTTCAAAATCTTCTTGATTGTGATATCATATGTTAGGAAATGAGACTCAAACATACATGCAATTATGAGATTCCAACATTTTGCAATTACATGTTTTCAACACTGCATAATTATGAGCTTCCAACATTCCTAAAGGTGTGTGCAATTATAGGCTTTTGACATTGTGAAATTATGGGCTTTCAATATCTCCTTTTTCATACAAGTCCCTAATGAAACTTTATTGTGATGATACCATTTGTAAAGAATTGGGACTCAAACATGATGCAATTATGGGTACTAACATTGTGCAATTACAGGTTCTAATACTGTAATATCAGGCTTCTAACATTATCTTTTACATATAGGTCCCAACTGTGTGTGCCAGGCTTCTAATATTGTATACTTATGAGTCTTTCATATAGGTCTCAAGTGAAACTTGACTGTGATACCACTTATTTAGGAATTGAGACTCAAATATGTGTGCAATTATAGGTTCTAACACTATAATATTGGATTTCTAACATTATCTTTTACATATAAGTCCCAACTGTGTGTGCCAGGCTTCCAATATTGTATATTTATGAGTCTCTCATACAAGTCTCAAGTGAAATCTGACTTTGATGCTACTTATTTAGGAATTGAGACTCAAATATGTGTTCAATTATAGGTTTTCAACTATGTGCAGTTATAGGCTTCTAAAATCTTCTTCATCATATATATTCCCAACAAAGTATGATTGTTATACCATTTCTTAGGAATTGGGATTCAAACATGCCTACAATCATGGGATTTCAACATTATGCAATTATAGATTTTTAACACTATATAATTATTGGCTTCCAACATTCTAAAAGGTGTGTGCAATTACAGGCTTTTGACATTGTGTAATTATAGGCATCTAATAGTGTCTTTTTCATACAGGTCCATAGTAAAACTTGATTGTGATACCATTTGTTTAAAATTAGGACCCAAACATGATGCAATTATGGGCTTCTAACATTATACAATTACAGGTTTTTAACACTGTAATATCAAGTTTCTAACATTATCTTTTATGTATAGGTTCTAATAGTGTGTGCCAGGCTTCCAACATTGTATAATTATAGGTTTTTCATACAGGTCTCAAGCAAAGCTTGAACGGGATACTACTTATTTAGGAATTAGGGCTCAAACTTGTGTGCAATTATGAGCTTTCAACATTGTGCAATTATAGGTTTTCAACATTGCCTAATTATGTGCTTCCAAAATTCCCAAAGGTGTGTGCAATTATAGGATTTTGACATTGTGTAATTATTGTCCTTTTTATACAGGTCCCTAGCGAAACTTGATTATGATACCATTTGTTAAGAAGTGGGAGTCAAACATGATACAATTTTGGGCTTCCAACATTGTGCAATTACAAGTTTTCAACAATGTAATGTTGGACTTCTAACATTGTCTTTTACATATAGATCTCAATTGTGTGTGCAATTACAAGTTTTCAACTTTGTGCAATTACAAGCTTCCAAAATCATCTTTTTCAAATCATATAGGTCTCTAACAAAACTTGATTGTAATACCATTTGTTAGGAATTAAAACTCAAATATGCGTGCAATTATGAAATTTCAATATTATGGAATTACAGGTTTTATTACAGGCTTTCAACATTGTCCTTTTCAAATAGATCCTAAACATGGGTGTTGTTACAGGTTTTTAACATTGTGATTATGGGTTTCTAACATCATGTTTTTCATATAGGTCCCTAGTATGAAAAACTTGATTCTTTTCCCAGCAAAACTTGATTGTGATACCATTTGTTAGGAATTGTGATTCTAATGTGTACACAATTATACATTTTCAATATTGCATAATTATGGACTTCCAACATCATATTTTTCATATAAATCCCAAACATATGTGTAATTACAGGCTTCAATTGGGACTCAAACATGTGTGAGTCAAAATTGTGTAATTATTGACTTCCAACATCGTTTTTTTTATACAGGTCTCTAGTGAAACATGATTGTGATCCATTTGTTAGGAATTGAGTCTCAAATGTGTGTGTGAGCATATAACATTGTGTTATTACAGGTTCTAAAATATCATCTTTTTCATAATTGTTGAAAGACAGTGAAAGGTGATGAAAAAGCTCCCAATTAAAACCTGACCATGAAAAAAATAGTGTCAAACTTGACCACAAAATTTGACTATGATACCCCTTATTATGAAATGGGACCCAAACATGTGTGCAATTATGGCTTCAAAATGCACAATTACGAGTTTCCAACATTAAATTACATGTCTTTTTGTTTTTTTAAAGCATAGAAGACCATCTTATTATCAAAACCAAACTAAAATGAAACTAGAGAAGCCAAATCTAATTAGTTTTGTTGGGTCTGGTTTTATTGGGCTCAAGGAGCATCTCAAGAAGGAAGGTGTCCAGCTAGGTCTACAACAATAAGTTAATATATACAAATGAGCATGATATCATATCTTATTAACCCAAATCTTAAGGCATTAAGCATATAGGTCCTTTTTTACTTATATTTTTTTTGCCTAACTCCACTTTATCTAATACAAGACTTCTCTCCACGCTAAACCAAATATGCTCGCACTTCACATTCCAACAAGTTTTACTTTATATGTGCGTGTGTATATACATAATTTATCTCTCCTTTTCTCAATCTTCTTATGAATCTGATGTTCACACTTGTCTAATTAATCCAAATCATTGGACTATCTAACAACTAAAACCTAAGTTTAGAAGACAAATATCAAATAGAAACTAAAGACATGAGTGCTGAGACTTTACACACACACATTGATAAAAATTGAGACTGTGTGCTTGTATCATGATTCCTCTAAGGTTGATGATGGTCTTGTTGGCTTTTATGTTATGTTGGAAAATAGTTTGAGCAAGTTGAGGCACACAGTGACTAGCATAGCTTTCTCCAGTAATATAAAAATCTCTGTTCTTGTATTCTGGAAAACTCTTTAACCAATTCAACAACAACATGTAATTATCTGAAGCTGTTCTTTTGTCTCCACTATGGTCATAATCTGATGCCTTGTTTGAGTATGAAAATCCCACTCCAGCTAGTGACTCCACAAACAAATTCATTCAATTCAAATTAAAAACCACACTAAGTTAGATAACCAAAGCACAAAAACAAGAAATAAAGGCTTTTTTAGTTTTGTTCCTTTTTTCATTTTTTAAAACTATTCTATAAACTAATTTTCATTTTTTTTCAATACAGAATAAAAAGAAAATTTGTTTGATTATGTTAATTTAAAAATAAATTTAGAATTAAGAAATTGGCCAATAATGGTGGTTGTCAATGGCTATAATTCTGATTAGTCATAGTTAAAAATAGCTTACGATAGTCAAATGAAACATTATTTTTAAGGTAAAAATAAAAAATCAGTTTTGAAAATATTTAAATTCAATTCACTTATCGAAATAATTTTTTAAAACAGAAATCAATCAGGTCTAAATGTTGGTTTTTTTTTTTACAAATAATATCCCTTAGTTTGTAAATTAGTCTATTATTTCATGAGGGAATCATGATATCTTCTTGTTGATACAGTGAAGCATGATATATCAGTAATAAGCCTCTTAATAATGTTTTTGAATTGATATTCCGTTAAATTTATAACTCTTGTCACATTCAATTACCAAAATGGCATAATTTAAAATTAAGAAAATCATTTGTAATTTCAAAAAAAAAAAAGCTAGGTGGTTTAATTTGCAAACTGTCATCATATTTTTTTTCTCTGATAAAAGAAAGCATATTTTATTAGCTTATTGTTTTAAAATATAGTGCCGCATTTGGAAATAAATAACCAAATTAAAAAGTAAAAATAAATTATGTGAGTTATCATAGTTCCTTGCATATCTGTTCTTGGAATGTGTTTTGCTATCACTGTTGACTCAGAAGGGTCCAAGTTCTTGCATATCCATAGGCAAGAGATGAACATCCCGGCCCTGATAAGAAAAATTAATTAAAAATTGTGCAACTTTTCTTATTTAATATGAATTATTAGAAGTCATATCAACATGCAAATATATAAAGATTATTTATGAGATGAAATAATCTAAAGTGACAATTAAAGTATAGTTATCACGATTGTTTATACTAGGAATTGAGAGTCACAATTTTCTATTGCTTTATTTATCATAATTAAACTTAGACAAATTGATTATAATATACCACATCAAATGAATCGCGAGAACAACTCTAATCCACATATAATAATTATAATAGTAATAATAATGTTTAATTATGACTTTTATTCCACTACAAAAAAATTGACTTTTAATTTTCAACGACAATAAAAAGTCATCACAATATTGCTGTGAAAGCTCTTGCTGTAAAAAGCTAGTCGTCACTGCAAATATTGAGAATCAATAGTGATAGATGACACTGTAAAAATCACTTTTAGTGGTGACTTTGTCGCTGTAGAAACTGCCAATCAATAACGATAAAAAGTTGCTGGTGAAAAGTAATGCTAGTTTATCTAGTCACATGATGTCATGTCACCCTCCCACTCCCACTAGATGTTTCACCCATGTCACCATCCATATGGCACCATGTCACCTTTCATGTGTCACTTACATGTTGCATTTACCTCACGCCGCATGTCATTGTATGACTATATTCACAAATTTTATCATTTAAAGTTTGAACCTATGGCCGCCTCCTTTTGTGTCCCACCATTTTGTTGCTGAGCTGGAATGAACCTACAATATATGATTGCATAATTATATATATATTATTAAAATAAAAAATATAAATTTATTAAATTGCAAATTATATTGTTTATTTTGTCTAAAGGAAACTATAAATATAATTGATACAATATCATTTATATTATTTATTTTAATTTTTTTTACTTTTTGAGGTTATTGTATTATTTATTTTAATATTCATATTTATAATTATAATATAAAAACTATCTAAGAATATATAATAAAAATATAGATGACTATACATTAGATCATAATTATTTATTTTTCTAGCTAGTTTTATTTAAAATTTTATTTTTACTTTTAATTAACAATAACTCTTATATAATGTAATTGGATTGTTTTTACGTTACATTTTACTTTTCTAATTAGCTTTTATTTTTAAATTATAATTTTATAAGAAAATTATACACTATATTATCTATTCTTTTTATATTTATGTTGTAAGATAACATCAAATGAAAAAAAAAATCATATAGTATCACATACATAGATATATTTCATATATTGTAAAAGTTAAAAGTATAATTTGAGAATATCTCATTTTTTTTCCTCTTCCTTATCATTAGCCATCAAACTAGGAACATCTAAATCGGCATCAAGTTTTAAAGTTACCGATATTGAATGTAGAATTTGAATTAAAAAATTAGATTAGAAAAAATTATCATTTTATGAATAAATAAATTCCACTATCATATGTCTAATTATTATAAACAAGTAGTGTTATTATTTAAAATATCAATATAATCATAAAACATTTGAAAATAGACTCATTTATGTAGTCCAAATTAAAATATCAAACATTAGGTTTTTGAATAAATTTATCATTTCACATAGGGGTATGCCTTGATCAATTCAGTTAGATTCATTGTTAATTGACCAAGACCAATTAACCAAACTAGCCGAAATAGTTAGACCAAATCGAACTAAACATTACTTGGTAATAAAAATTGATATAAAATAATACAGTTTGGCTTAATTCTTTAATCTGACTCATTAATATTAAAGAATATCTTAATCTTATCTTAAAATAATTTTATTATTTTAAAGTTACAATTTAATCATAAAATATATTAAATGAAAATTTATTATGTTATTTTATATATTCATTATAAAATAATACAATAAAATTAATATTTTTAAATTTTAAATATTATATTAAACAAAATAAAAAAAATTATGATGATAATATGAATGTCAAACTTTCAAAAGCAAGATTTAGAGTTGCCACTATAGTCACCACAGAAAGTTAAACTTAAAAGTTGTCACAAATTGTTCATTTTTAGCAGTGACTTTTTAAAATCACTATTGAAAGTTATTTATTTATTTATTTTGTAGTGTTCTGTTTTCCTCATCATCATGCACGATAAGAAATCCTCTCCATGAGCATGATTGAAGGGATTTAAAGTAATGAAAACTGTTATTTTATATTTGAAATATAATTTAAGAACTTACATAAAAGAGGTAATGCAATTGGATTTTACTTACCCAAAAAAAGGATATTTTCAGGCTTTAAAAAATAATTAGTTTATAAAATTATACTTCTTTGGAAAAAATTTTTATTGAAGAGGATCAAGTTATTGTTTTTGAAAAATATATTTTAAAATTAATCACAATTATTGATGTTCAGTGACACAGCAAAATTATTCATTATATGATGATTGCCAACAATATAATGTATATATAGTTTTTTGTGGCCAGATTCTGAAACACTTTTTATTGCTTTCTCAATATTAAATAAATATATTTCTTAAATTGTGATGGCAAAACTAGTTAGCATGGAGAAATCAACAATTACTTTTCATTATCTATAAGGAAAGAATAAAAAAACAAGAAAAAAATTCTTCTTTGCCAATTGAATTGAAATACACCTGCAGTTGCAAGGCTCTTATGGCGCACAAGTTTTGTATCGAAGATCAAAAGGATATTCTAAAGTTAAACAACCCATTAGTTGATTATCTTTATCTTTGGAGGAAAATTTGTTGTGTTTGGTTGAAACTTCAAGCAAATTTTTCATATTATTTCAGGTAGGTCAAGAGAAGATTTTTTTTTTTTTTGCCACCATTAACTCTTTGTACATTTAGAATAATTATCAACTTTTAATACTAACAAGAAACATAAGACTTCTAGCAACAAATATTGGCCATCTACTAGTGTTTTTCAAGATTTTACTGACTAGATTATCAATTGGTGATTGGACTGCTGCTAGAGCTAATAAAAGATCTATAGATATTAAGATCCTAAAAGAATTTATTATTGGAATGTATTTTAGAGATATGGCTCTTTATATTAGCATCCGTTTGGAGGAAAAATCTGTTGATTCAACTTTCCTGTATTCCCTTAACAATGTCTATAAGTCTTCATATTTTAGAGACATGGCTATATTAGCTCCTATGTTGGTTGTAGTTGAAAAAGTAAATAGGTACATATTGTCCCTACTTCTTGGTGAGGAAGTTGTGCACTGAACTTTGATAGTGTTGTGAAAGATGATGGGAACATGCATTTAATTGATGACATTCACGCTATGGATTTTCTAAATTTAATTTCAATGCTAGGTGTCTTGAATTAATGCTCAAAGTGGGTGCTCTAATCATTTTAATGTGGAACATTAATATATTTATGGGGTTGTGCAATGATACGTGTCTCATAGTTAAACAAATTGAAAAACATGTTATTGAGGGCAAAGAAATGTCTAGTTCAAATGCAAGGACATAATTAAGTATATATACTGTATATTGATATGTCTACGTCCCATCTAATTCAACGTTGCTATTCACTATATATGATAAAGAGGTAGTTTCTTATTATGTTTAGTTTTTGCCATGGCCATCAATAAGAGCCAATGTCAAAGCATGTTTTATGTTGGTTTGTACATGCCTCAACATGTTCTCACCCTACAACCAATTATATATTGTTGCTTCTCATGTTTGAAGCAAGAAATGTTTAAAAACATTGATTCTTAAGTAGGACGGCTCCATAAATGGAACTTATAATGTCATTTATAGGGAAGTCTTTAGTAATTTGATTTAAATAATTATGATTTTTTGTTAATCTATTTCCTATTGTATCCACGCACACAGTATGCATTTAATTTTTACCATTTGCTTTACTTTAATATGTATATTTAATATTCTTAACGATAATTATACAATCCCACTGCATATAGGATGATATGGAGATTAAAGATATTTTCCATAAGTTATTCTTTTGGGAAACATCTTCCAACAACATTGACATTTATTTATAAAACCTATAATATAAGACCTGTGCATCGCATGAGTATTTTACTAGTTTTATATAATGTATGTGAAAATGTGTTTAGTTATGTATGTATGTATGTAATACCTTTTTAAATTAAAAATTTGAGTCACCTAGATCTAATTTATCTAAACTTTTATTATATTAAAAAATAAAAAACAACAAGGTATAATTTCCTTGTAAAAACTTGTTTCTCTTGAATATGTAGTACCAAAAAAAAAAACTGCCGATTTTTTATAGAAGAATAAAGTTTGAACATTTTATATTGGAAAAAAAAATTAAGACATCTACTCATTTGAATTTGACAATACTCAGATATAAAATATCAAAACTATAATTTTCCTTGAAATATTGATTAATATACTGCGAAATAATTTCAAGATTTTCGCTCATACAAAAAGAAAAAAAACGTTAAATAATTATAAGAGGTGGAGTTCCGTTGGAAAAATAACTTCTTATTAATTTTTTCTTTTGAAAAAGATGATCATTTTGGTCTCTACATTTTTCATCTAGTTTTGACATTAATTAGTTATTGGGCCTTTATTCTCATTAACCCACTACCAATCCCTTTAATCCACTTAAAATTTCCATGATCTCCAACTCTTTTCCCTTGCTGCAATCAAAGGTGATTCTTCCACCGTCTGTTTCATGTGAAAATGAAAGTTTTAAACAATGTTTCATAAAAAGTTTCATTTTTAATTAAATTTTAATGACAATTATATATAAGTACATTTTAGAATTGGATAATTACTTCACAATACATAAAATATTCACACAATTAGTTTTTCTCACAAAGATTTAAACAGGATCTTAGGAGCTATATATCGCCTTCAAAATATATTCAAAATAGAAATGAACAAGTTTTAGTTTAAAGTATATTTAATTAGTTGATTATTCAACATAACACATCAAATATATACACAATCAATTTTCTACTAAGATTTAGCTGTAATTCTTATCTACATGGAGCCCCTTCTTTTTATAGAACCAACTAGATGGAAATGTACATTAGATTTAATTTATCCAAAAACAGGATAAGATTCTAGAACAATATAACACACATTGAATATGTCATTCATATACATGCGTACATAGACATATGTACTTTAGTTCAACATGAATGATATAGGCTGTCTTCTCTTTTAAAAAATTCTTCAATAGAAGCAAGCATGGACCTATTTGATTCACTCTAACTTGTCTAAACCTTGAAGCCATAGTTCCTCATCACCATCAAAAACATCATGGCTAATTAAATGTCCTTCCAGACTCTAACATCTTCACAATATAGTTGAAGAAAGATAAAGAGAGGGATGGAAAAATCTAATCTTGATCAGGTTAGGTAGATCTCACTACTCTCGTTATCTCTCCCTTCATAGATTGGTGTTGTCATCATCACCTAGCTGTGACGTTAGACATTGTCACCTTATTAACTGAAGGATCATCTTCGGAATTTTTTGATGTAGATGAATCTTCTGGGCCCATTCCTCCTAGTGAAAATGCAGGATGATTAGGCTTGGGAAAGGTCATTGTGTCACTTGCAAGCATAACTACAACACCAGACATTGTTGGTCTATCTTTTGCATCTTCTTGGACACAAAGCAAGCCAATGTGTATGCATTTGAAAACTTCGCTTTCTACGTATGAATCTTTCAGAATTGGGTCCATCAGTTCCAAGCATTTTCCATCACACCATAGACTCCAAGTCTGCAAGCAATATATAATTGATCATTCTTTGAGATTATGAAACCATTCAGATTAATTCAATTTTCATGAATGATATTAGGAGTAATAGTTCTTGATAAAATACTAGATTATATTCCCTCATTCTAAATTTAGCTTTCATTCCAAAAATAAGACAATATTGCTGCCCTTTAGTTATTATGGCCAAGAAAATTAGTATGCAAAATATATATATATATATATATATTTTAAGGACTAACTTGTATACTAAATTTTTTCAAACTTGAGTCAAATATACAAATATGTAGAAACTTATCCACACTTGAAACTCAAGATTCTTGTGCTAGATATATAACATACAAACTCAAGTTGCTATGGAGATTAAAACAAAAAATATTTGTTATGTTCTTTTACAAAAGAGCATAGTTTTTCTTTTCTTGGCTCCATTTTGAAATGTTGATTGCAAAGAATATTATAATCATTGTAAAATTTGAAATTATTAACAAGATGACATTAGGGGGAAAAAGAACTCACGTAAATTAGAAGGCTTTGACGATGTTGAGAGAAGTGGAAAGATCTCACCCTTTTTCCACATATGATTTCAAGTAGAAGAACCCCAAAGCTAAAAACATCTGATTTTACTGAAAATAATCCTTCCATAGCATATTCTGGGGCCATATATCCACTGTTTTATGGATCCAATCATATAACAATTTTAGTTATCCTTCAATTAATAATATTCTAAAATTTAAACATTAAATAATAGCTTTCAAGTAAAAGAAAGAAGCAAGATGTTAGAAGTGAATAACCCTTACTAAGTACCCATTACTCGGCCTGTATTTATTCCTTGATTTTGGCCTCCATCAAAAGCTCTTGCTAGTCCAAAATCTGATATTTTAGGATTCATCTCATTGTCCAAAAGAACATTACTAGCTTTCAAATCTCTGTGAATTACTCTAAGTCGAGAGTCTTCATGAAGATATGAAAGTCCTCTTGCAACCCCATTAATAATATTCAGTCTGCGTTTCCAATCTAGTTTCTTCCTATTCTCTTCATCATCTGATGACAAAAATAGTTCAAGGAAAATCTTATCAACAGCATTATATGAAGAGAAAAAATTCACATGTCATTGCATATGTAGTTGCTACGTACCAAAACAGTAAAAGTAACTAGTAAATAAAATATCCTTATAACTATGACAATCTAAATTTCGTTATAAAAAAGTTAATTCTATTAAACAAAGACATTTTAAAAAATCATTTATGTGAAATATGACCATGTTAAAGAGCCCTACTGGTGACAATTTTTTTTTTATCAAAATGAAAATCAATCAAACAATTGTTAATTAAGTGCACTCATCAAAGTCATCATTGTCAGCAATGTAAATCACAGTAAAAATTAGAAGGCGGAAAACCCTAAATTAGCAAGTACGAATTGATCCCAAAGAATATCATTAGAAGGATGTACATACATGATATTCAACTTTCATGCTAGAAACAAGATATTATTTTTTGTACGTAGCTTTTCTTGATATGCAAGAAAACGAGAGTAATTGAAAAAATTAAGCGTAAATGTAGTATTCAAGTAGTCGATGGACAATAAGTAACACTACAACAGAACTGGACAAAAAATGATTGTTATTTTTACCTATATATGATGATCATTAGGAATAGTAATATATTAAGCTATCATTTGCAGTCCCCCGTATCTATATGACAGTTAAAACGCTTCATATATACAAAAGAAAATATCATGGTTAACTACCTCAATCATATAAAACATAAACCGTTTTGGCATTCTGGTCCTGGCATACCCAAAAATGACAGTTTTTATACTCAAGCCAACGCTTGTTTCTTTCATTAATTCAATAGCACATTAAATGGTCTTGCAATTCATATACCCAAACCTGCTTTAAAAAACCCATATTTTACACAAAGGCATGTGATTAGTAACTCACTAATATTGGGATAAAAGGAATGATAATAGTATAAAAAAATAACTAACTACTCTATACATTACATCGATGATTCATGAGTCACATATGAATTCCGAAATTATATCCTTTCTAACAAAAAAAATTTCAGCAATATAATGACATAAAAAAAACATTCCCTAGGCTTCAAGCCCTCTTTTTAAATCTAAATTTCATCTCAACAAACCAAATTCAACCATACTTATCAATCCCAACAGCAACAAAATCCATAGCAACAAATATTTAGTGCACTAAATAATTTTATTAATGTAATCTATATTAAAAAACCATAACTCAATATACTATTTGAAGAACAAAGACATAATCAACTCAATAACGATAGTCCAATAAATTCCACAATGCAATAAATTGAAAAACAGAACATTATACACACACACACACACACACACACACACACTCTTGGCAAAAAAAGCCAAAACTAATAACAAAATACAATTTTCAGTCTAAGATTTTCGAGTAAGTTATGGCAGCTCATAATCAATGATATATATTCTAGATGGAGTTTAGATAACTTACTGAAAAGGTGGAAATCAAGGCTAGAATTAGACAGGTACTCATATATAAGTAGCTTTTCATTTTCCTCTATACAACAGCCCAAGAGTCTCACAAGGTTTCTATGTTGTAATTTTGCTATGAATATCACTTCGTTTTTGAACTCCTTTGAACCTTGACCTGAAGTTTTTGAAAGTCTTTTCACAGCAATTTCCCTCCCATCTGGCAATGTCCCCTAGTAAAGAGGTTGATACGAAGTGTAGAAACATTAATTAGCATATTGAGCAAAGCTAAATATAGCTCATATAAAACGTAATATTGATTGTAAGTTGTTAAGTTCGATTCACATTAATCTTCATACTTCATGCTTCTAAACTAACAATAAGTTATCTCAGTATAATAGTTTTAAAAATATACTTCCTCTTGTCCAAAATAGAAGTCATTTTTTTCTAGCCAAACTTGGTAAAAAATATAAGAAGTTTGGTAATTTTAGAAATTATTTTTTCCATTTTATCCTTGCATTTGTTAACCCAATTTATTGTGGAGCATGAAAATTTATCACATTTCTCTTAAATTCATTGTCCAGCTTTATATCATCTTAACTTTCCCACATGACATCCCTCATTAAAAAATTATTGACATAAATACTCTCTTACATTGCAATAATAAATACTCTCTCTCTAATTTAATTCATTACTGGTAGTTTGGGGCTAAGGGTAAAAAAGAAAAAAATATAAATATAACTAAATTTTATAGTATGCATATTATAGTAGAAAGTTGCTTATAATTTGGACTGGGAGGAGTACATCAAATAATAAAGGGAAAAATAAAAACACAAAATTTAAAATCAAATGAAACTTTCTTATAGACAAAATAATATAATATATATCTTCAACATCATAACTTATAAATCCAATATACTGATACCTTATAAACGGGACCAAAACCACCTTCTCCCAATTTAAATGCTTCTGAAAATTGATGCGTACTTTGTTGAATCACAACTAAAGGGATTGTGGGAAGGTCTGAGTTCAGTGAAGTCTCTCTTTCAGAAAGGCCGTAAAATATAGGAGTGTTCTCCAACGGCATATTATCTACAAGACAAGAACATGTAAATTGATCTTTGATATATCTTATGACCATATATTTATTTACACAAATATATGTGAGAGAAGAGAACATTGAGAGATTTGATAAATTAATGCAGTTTGAAAATCTACCTTAATGACCATATCATATATTCTTTCATGATAACAATCAATATGTAGTTCTTATATATGCAATCATTCATGGAGGAAAAAAAGAGTGTCTATATAACAAACAATTCATTCCTCTAATAATATGGTACTTATGGCATATTACAATAGCTAAACTCACTATATAGTATCTCAGTTGACATTTTGTAAAGAGTAAGAGCACATTGAAGACACTGAAATTAATATAAGTTAATCGTTAATCACTACGAAAACTGTTTCAATGACAAAAAATAATCAACCAAAAAAATGCAAAAAGATAATAGAGAATTATAAAGTCAACGTTCTGTATTTGTTTATTTTTAATTTTTTTTCCTCAGATATTTCTAAGCAAAAATTTGAATATATTTCGCTCAATAATCACGGAGAGGAAATTTCTCTCAATTAAAATTCAGAGAGAATATTAAGTTCTGTGTATTTTTTCAAGAGAAGTTTTCTCTGTATATTTTCACAGAAAATTCTAGGAGAAAATTAGTCTTTTCTTAAAAGCTAGAGAAAATTACTGTGAATCAAATGATAAGGTGATGATAGGAAAGAAATTAAAATGAAAATAACAATAAAATATCTCGAATATAATTAAACTAAAAATTCACACCACTTCACTGAATCTGAATGCACATAAAATGTCATAAATATATACCATTTCTAGTCTTCCTCCACCAAAAGATCAACAGAGACAAAATTAATATAGCCATGGCCACTGATACAGTTATGATTATGATCAAGGCTTTTGACTTCCTAGCACCATTATGGGCTGCACCAATGACAAATGACATATAAAAATGCGTATGTTAATATTGATCTGCGCAACTAAATCTATTTGAACGCAACTAAAGAAAAAATATATATTGATCTGACATACATAGTAATGTATCAAGTTTTGCTAGAGTTGTAGTATAAGTAAAACAATATTACTGAATAAAATTAAAATTATTGAAGGATAAATTTTTAATTTTATACCCCCTTCATCCCAAATTATAAGATACTTATAAAGAAGATTTGATGTCCGAAATATAATACACTTTAACAAAAATAAAGTTTTATTAATGATGATATTTCATTATTACCCTACTCATTATATCTTTCTCTTTGATATTCTTTTATAAATTGAATATTAAATGAAGAGCATTTTTTAAATTTGGTATTTTTGCTTTTGGAATTTTATATTTTTGTCTTAAAAAATAATGCTGTAGAGCATATTTAATAAATTTTATTGGTATGTATAATTTTATTTAAAATTGTCTTCTAAATTAGGACAGAGGGAGTATCATTTAAAATTTTAACTTTACTTTTACATGACAAAATTTCATAAAGATAAAATAAAATGAAAAAATTATATTTAGGTCTCATCAAATGCACAAAATACTCCAAAATTAAAAATCCAACACATTTACAATTGGTCAAAGGAAAATGACAACTTGACAAAAGAAAATAAAAATTTGAAATTAAACTCATACCCAAATTGTTATTCTCTTTTGCCAAATTGTCATTTTCTTTTGCTTAATTGTAAATGTGCAGAATTTGAGACTTGAGAGTATTTTGTACATTTCATAAAACATCTTAATAATTAAATAGTTTTGTGGGACCTAATTGTGATTTTCTCAAATAAAATAAAACTTTTTCGGTATATAAATGTAGAAATTTTAAGAGAAACAACTTAAAAAGAATCTACACTATTTAATTTTAGAGAATTTTAAGTACCATTAGTTTTACAAATTATTACTAATTACTAATATTAATATTAATATTATTAATAAATTGTGTGTGAGTGCGTTCTTGCATGTACACGTGTGAGATTTGAAATCAATCATTTTTCCTACAAAAAAATCCGGTTATTTAATACTACAATTATGTTAAAGATTTGTATGAAATTGAGACCACTCCATCTCACCAACTCTGACTTTTCTACACCTGCTTACTGCTCCTGGACCAACAAGTCAAAAGCATCAAAATATCGTATCGAAATTGCCTCTCTTTATTTTATAAAAAGGAAGTAGTTGGATTAATTTAAGGAAAAAAAATCACTTTTAATCCTACATACGCAATTTAAACACATAAGATTTATGAAATCACAAAATTACTTTAAAATTTTATTATTAAAATTGTTAATTAGTAACTAGATAGTTACTTAGTTGTCAACTGAAGAAGTTAACTCCAGTTAAAACTGTATGACAATAATTAACAATTTCAATATAAACAAATAGATATCTTCAACAAAGGATATTCAACTTAGAGTAATTTTGTGATTGATTTGATGGAACTTTTTAGTATTCAAATTGTCAGCGAAAAACTTGAAAGTAATGTTTCCTTAATTTAATATACCTATCTTTTCTTTCATGGTTTCATGTGTAAGTTTTAAAAAGATATGACAGAGTTCAATTTAATATATCTAGAGATTATTTGTAATAATAAATTTCTTATAGAGTTCAATTTTCAAAAAGATAGTAGCACAAGAAAGAGTAAAAATGTGTGGTTTTCAAATTTGACTTTTTTTTTTTCAACAACCAATTCTTTTAAAGCCTTAAACAACTTTTCAAATCATAACTCTGAAGAGTCAAAATTTGTAAATAATAATATTATTTTTCCTTGTCATCTTTAATTTCAAGCCTCATACAAAATGAGTAGAAAGATTTTATGTAGATGAGTGCAAACTTGAAGGATTTAAGTTTTATACCTGTAGAAGAATTAGAATTAGAGGAAGTGGTTGATTGATAAAACATGAAATCGTCGTACTTAATCAGACAACTTGGAGCCAAAACCTGCCATCCTAGCTTGTGCTCACAACACTGAGGAACCTTATCCAGCATAGCCTCCAAGCATTGTCTGCAACCTTCAGTGTTAAGGTCTCTGCTACACTGAACCAATGCATACCTTTTTCTTCCTCCACCCAAATCAAACTCTCCTCTAGCACCCAATTCCTCTGGGTCTTCTGTCGCTGTTTGTATTAGACTTCTCATGAAACTCTCCGCCTTCTTCCCCTCTAACGGATCTGACACCGTCTTTGCTCCGACGACATGCCACGATGGGCTAGTTGTCACGTTCCCAAAGAAGTTCTTGTTAGAGTATCGGAGGATGCAGAAGTCGTACCTATGTTGCAAACAAATAACTACACTTGCATAAGCAATAGTTGAAGTTCATTCATTCAGTATATACTGTCTGATTTTTCAATACAAAGTAAAAAATTTCAGTGAAGGTTTAGACAAATTCTTTGATCCTTAATATAAAACATTTAATAAGGTATTTATTATTACATTTTTTTCAATATTATCTCCATTTAAACTCATTAATTATGAGAGAGTATGTAATGTAAATTTAAAAAAATTTCATTTAAATAAGGGTTAAACAAGAAGTTTATTCTTTTTTTCAAACAATGTTAACAATTTAATCCTATAAGATAATTACATGTGCTTTTATAATAATAAGTACTCGAGGTATTTACCTTATGATTGTTGAGTTGCCAAAATATAATTTTGATTCAGTCAACAGCCAGTTATCCTAATAACAGCACCCCCTCTCTTTTTTTAAAAAAGGTAAAAAGTTCGAACACGGCGTTGACATGTTTATGTGGATGAGTGCATGTGTCCTTTTTTTCCTTAATGGAAAAGAGTTAGATTAGGGGTAAAAAAAAATAAAAAAAAAGAAAAATATAATTTCAAATCCCTGAAATTCGATGTTTACAGAGAAATGAACCTGAAAAAGAAACATTACTATGATTCGTAGATTACCAGATCCGTACCATATTACAGCGGAAGATTGATTGGGACAACGTTGGAGAACCTCTCTACTGGCAGTGGTGATACAGAACTGGCAGAAGTATCCGGCATCATCACCGCGGCAGTCATAGAGGCCGTAGACAGCGCTGGTGGCGGTGCCGACGGCCGTATGGTTGTAGCCTTTGCTTGTGGCTGCGTCGGTGGCGAGCGATGAGAGAAGCTGGTTAAGGTTAGCTTTGTATGAAGATGTAAGAACTTGCTGGGTTTTGTTATGGCAGTCATCTCCAACGTAGATTGGTGCTTGAGAAGTACTCGTTCTGATGAAACTGATGATCAGAACAACTATGAAGAAGATGATCGGAAATTCAGGAACTCTAATAATTGGTTTTGTCGATCCCATCATTCCATAGTAGAGGCTATTGCAGGTGGTGGTGGGCTGCGTGTAGGAATACAAATGGATCGTAGATGTTATAATAAATACATTGGTGATGAGTTGTTCAAAATAATTATAGTTTTATAATTAGAAATGACTCATGGTAGCATATGTTAGGTTACGGTGGATATATTGGAATCATTTTCAAAGGAATGACATGTAAAATAAAAATAATAAATAGAATGGTACAGGAAAGTGATGTTTTGGGCTCCATCACTATTGGAAAAAAAAAAAAGATATTTAAGGCTTGTTCGGTTTTTTTAAATTTTTTTTAAAACTATTTTGTAATATAATTTTCAGACCTTTTTATGAATTAAAACATAGCAAAATAAAAAATCTATTTAGTCATGTTAATTTAAAATAATATTAGAGTTAAAAAATAGGTTAAAGGTACGATAGTTACATGTGGTTAATTGTGATATTTCATGATAGAACTTGGTCAAGTTAATTATATTTTGCAATAATCAAATGTAGTGTGTTTTTAAAATAAGAAAAATAAATGAAAACAACTTTAAGCTGTAGTATATTTTGAAAACAAAAAATGAGAATAATTTTAAAAATAATTAAATCCAAAACACCTATCCAAATAAATTTTGTAATTTTTGGTTTTTAAAAATAGAAAAAAGTTTTTGAAAAAAAAAAAAGAGAGAGACGAAGGGGGGAAAGGGCCATCAGCCCCACACTCATAAATTTTTATATTTTACATGTATTTTTCTTGTAAAACAATATGTAAAAATTTTTAGTCCTCCCATAACTTTATCATTTTTCAATTTTTGCCTCCAAGCATTGCATCCTGCATTTGTTCCTGCCCTTAACATCTATATTTTGGATCGATTAGCTTGAAAATGTAAATGGTGGTATATTTGTAATTATTTGAATTTTTTTTCCTTTTATCTAGAAAGTATTGTCCACAGCAAGTTAAACATAAACCGATCTGGAAAAAGGCATCTGGCCAAACAATATTACTTATCTAGTTCGATATTATTATAGAAAATAGGTATATGGAAACTTACCTCAATTCACTTGGATTCCTCAAAAGCCACACAGCAGTTACAGGGATGAATATAAGATATACTCTCTCTGGTCTTATTTGTTAAACACTTTCTAAGAGTTATTTTTGATCCAAAATGTGGATACTTTATAATATTTAAATCACTTTTATTTTTAAAATATTAAGAAAAAGAAATTTTTTTAAAACGCATGAAATAATTAAAAGTATCCTAGGAGTATGTTTCATAGTAAATAGCATCACTTTTGAGGAATTTTGGATCTAATCTATACTTTTTGTCAGTACTCTACATAGGTAATCTTGTCCATTTATTTCATCACATCCAGATTTAACGATATAATTAAGGTCATTAATTATAACATTAAATTAAATATGTTTTTTAATTAATTTCACAAAGATAGCATTAATATCCTATTTTTAAAAGCATTCAATTAAGTTTGATAATAATACATGCATGATCATTAAATCAAATGGATAGATAAGATTGTACACAAAGAGATGAATTGAGAGAAAGTATGGAGTAGAATCTAAATCCACCACTGAGAGGGAAAAAAGATAGCATATATTTCTTTTCATGGGTATAGGAAATTAAAACAAAATTATATTACTCTACCAATGAGAGTTATGTCTAGCAGAAAAGGCTAGTATTTCATAATTTACACTATTAACAAATAGCCAATATATTGTGCCAACTATATAATGATTATTTAAAACACTGTTATAAAAATAAGGTGGGATTAGGTTCCAGAAACTATATAATAGTTATATAACATAACAATTATATAGTATCTCGGTCCATTAGATGTTACGAAAAAAAAAAAGACCGTTATATTATATATAGTCATTATTTTTTTCTCTAAATACTATTTAGCGGTTAGTTCAAATTAACTGCTAAATAATGTTTGAAAGTTTCAGTAACTATTATATAGACCAATTATTTTTGAATTTTTTAACCTACAAACTATATAACCGTTAATAACTATTAAATAGTTTTATTTGAAATCTTTTGGCTTGCCTCTCTTTCTAGGCATTACATATTTGGAAAGCTTAAATTATTTCTTCCTCCTGCGAACCTCTCCCATTCTCCACAAAAACACCTCCAATGATCACGAAAAACCCTTTCCAACCAAATCCCTTTGTTCTTAGCCATCAGTGAGCCTTGGGTCACCATCATTGTCTGTCACCGTGGTGGGTTTATTCCTTTTCATTGGGTTTTCCCTTTTGGGAGTCTGTTAACGTTCGTAGCCTTCATCTTCTCTTCTTCTTCATCATTTGAGTATCAGGTTGGTGATTTTGATACCTAAACTCCCTCCATTATCATTTTTAGTGAGTTTTATTTGTTTTATTTGAATGGATGTAGTGTATATGCGATGAGATTTCCTTCTCTTCCTCCATCAGTGTGCTTCTTTGTTTCTCCATTTTTTTTAAATAAAAACTAATATATTTAATAATTATAATCTTGCTTTTATTAAATTTTCTTGATTTGTAAGTTGAATTTACTAGCTTGACACAATGTATATGCTTTGATAATCACTAGTATAAAATACAGAATTTAAGGGGCACTTTTTACATTAGTTAAAAAGCAAACGATGTAAAAAATAAAGGTGGTTGTATTTTTATAATTATATAGGGAGTTTGATGACTTTCTATAGTAGTTGCAATCATAACAGATATAGATAATTCACTTTCTACATCAGTTCATAAGAAACAGATGTAGAAAGTGGTAAAAAAATTTAAAGTATTAAAAATAAAAGTTTCTACATCAGGTGGAGGGCTACCTGGTGTAAAATACTCTATTTCTACGCCAAGTGGACTACACCCATTGTAGAAACTTCTACATTGGGTTGGACGACCCAATGTTGAAACGAGAGTTTTTACACATGGTGGAACCCACCTAGTATATAAACCAGAGTTTCTATGTCGAGCACTTAACCTAATGTAGAAACTGGAGTTTATACACCAAGTGGATCTCCACCTGGTATAGAAACTCCTTTAAAATGCTTATTTTTGGACTCCCTCATTCATTTCACGCACGAGAGCTTCTTCCTTTCTCTCTTCTTTCTTCTGCCGCCGAGTCCTCCTCTATTCTCAATGTTGTTTGACTGCCTCAGGCTACTGTTCCATGTTAGAATCTCCTCCCCCGCCGTCGATCGAACTCGTCCTTCCCCCGAAACTCATTTTTTGCCGTCGACCATCGAACTGCTATGCCCATTTTTATGCTTCTGTTCTGCATCATGTTGCCAAACTACTGTGCTCGTTTTTGTGCTTCTGTGCTGCGTCGTGCTTGCGTCGCTGCTATGGATCGTGCTATGTTGTGCCTGCATCACTACTGTGCATCGTGCTTCACCATGCTGTGTCATGCCTGCGTGATCGTGCCCCAGTCATGACCCATTTTGGCCAACGCCCTTTCGTCCAGTGCTGTGCGTGATCGATTCCCTCTCCCTACCCCCTGCCGCCAACGCCCTCCCCCTCCTCTTCCTTTTCCCCATTCAGGTATGGCTTATTTTTTTAATTATAAATTGTTAATATATATTTATATAATTATTTAATTTAATTTTAATTTAGTTAGATTGTATGTTTTTATTAATTCTTTTAATTAGTTAGGCTGTTATATATATATATATCATGATATATATATATATATATATATTATGATATATAATTATTTCTTGTGGAGTGCTGTTAGTTGCTATCAAATGCCTTAGGTTGATGCATATGATGAAGTTATTATTGTTGTTGGCATTGTTTAGATATAAAATTGTGTATTTTGTGCTTATAAATTTTGTTAGAGGTTCAATGTTCAGGGGAGACTTTGCCAAAAAATTTTCAAATTCATTCTTTCCTCTAAGTTGGTTAAAAGTTGTTATTGTATTGATTGTTGTTGGGATTGCTGCTATCAATGGTAATCTAATGCCCTAGGTTGATGCATGTGATGAAGTTATTTTATTGTTGGCATTATTTAGACATAAAATTGTGTATTTTGTGCTTATAAAATTTGTTGGAGGTTCAATTTTTAGGGGAGACTTCCTCTAAGTTGCTTAAAATTTAATTGTTATTGATATTGATTGCTACTACAAGTGCTATTAGTGGCTTCATAAGGTCTCAAGTTGTTGCATGTGATTATTTATTTGGTTTAAAGTTGTCAATTTTCCCTTGCAAGTTTTTTTAAAAGTATTGGGAAGTCCTATTTTTAGGGAAAACTTTGTCAAAATTTTTTCAACTTTATTATTTTCTCTAAATTACTTAAAATCTTAGGTTAATTTGGAATTTAGATTTTTGAAATACTTATATATTCTTCTTTAGGAGGTGACATATGGATCGTAGGTGGATCAATGCTAAACAAATGAGTGATGAATATGATAATGGGATGAAAGAGTTTTTGGAATTTGCTAAGAAAAATGCTATTGACAATGGTGGGAGGTTTTATTGTCCTTGTGTTAATTGCTTAAATGATAGGAGACTAGGTGTTGCTGAAATAAGAGAACATTTAATTTGTGATGGGATTTGCAAGAATTATATGGTATGAATTTGGCATGGTGAATGATTGGAAAATCATAGTAGCACATCTCAATATGTGGAAGTTAATAATCTTGATGATGAAGTAGATATAAATGAAGATAGATTCTGGACATGATCCATAATATTGGGGAAGAGGGCTTTAAATGAGTACATATGTATAATAACTTGTACATTGATGTGGAGAAGCCTCTATACCCGAGATGCACTAATTTTAGTCTATTATCGAGGGTATTAAAATTGGTTACTATGAAGGCAAAAGCTAGGTAGAGTGACCAAAGTTTTACATGGTTACTTGAGTTACTCCAAATAATGTTTCCAAAAGTCAATGTACTACCAAGTCATTATTATGATGCCAAGAAGATCTTGTGCCTTATGGGCATGAAGTATAAAATGATACATGCATGCCTTAATGATTGCGTGCTATATAGAAAATATCTTGAAGAGGAGGAGAAATGTCTAAAATGTGAGGCATCATGATACAAAGAGAATGGGGCTCCTATAAAGGTTTT